CTGCCTCATTAAAATAACACAGAAAACCCATTCCCAAATAATCACAGCATAAAGGTTAGGATTTACAACACTTATTTTGGGGACATAATTCAATCCATCATACACATTCAGGCAGAAATGCATCCTAATAACTCTCCAGCCTCCAGTCTAATTCTAGCTCTCTTCTCTCTCCCCCGCTTCCCTTCTTCCCTCCTCTGTCCCCTCACCTCCCCTTTCTTCCCTTCTCCTTTTCTCTCTCTACCAGTGAAGTTGAACATTTAGGAGAAAATTAAAGACATGACCACAGAGACATTCTATCTACATTAGATACTGAGAACAAGCACCAAAATGATTAATGAACATCCAAATACCACCTGGATATAAAAAATGAAAAAGATCTGAGGCTACAAATATTTCAGTTATGTTGTCTACATAACGGAAGGAATGATGGGGAACAACAAGCTCACCAAAATGTATCTGATACATCAAACACATTTGTATGTAATCTCTCAGCAACCCTGCAGTGCTACTTGAAGAACCAGTGGAATGTTTAGATTTCCATTTCAGATCCAATCAGTAACTTTATACAAGTCTTGGCTGCATTACAATTCAAACGGAAGAAGATGATGTCTTGGGGAAAAGAAAACTTTTATACAGGGTCTGGGATGTATTTGTGGGATAGAAGTCAGTAAACTATAGGCAGAGGGGATAGAGATAGAAATAAAAGATAAAATCCATCACAAGTGAGTTTATGGACCTAGCATCTATTACATCCTTTGATTACTAACTTTCACAATTACCTGGACTGTATCAAGGGGAGAGCGGCCCTCCCATCCTTCGTCCCCACTCTAACTGCACAGACACACACACACACACACACACACACACATCTTCCCTCTCCAGTAGCTAAGGTCTCATGAATCTGTTTCCCAACTGGTTTGTTTTTCAAAGGAAGGCCAGAGGAAGGGAGAGATTTGAGAAGTGTCTTTAGAGGAATCCTTCCCTCTGGCATAAAGGAGACAGAAGTTTCTGTGTGGTAGTCATGGAG